ACATTCTTCCTCAAAGCAATAAAGCAAATTAAGATCTTATAATATAAAAGAATCACAGATGGAAAAAATTTAAATTTGTCCACTCAATATGATTGTGTAAAAATAAAAATATTCAGTAATTTAATTCAAACACTACAAAATTCAACCGTATTTTGTAAATATGACCATGGAGTTTACATCAGTGAGATGTAAAACTTTTCAGTCCTGCAACTAGATTGGAGTTGAATCACTGACTTTTAAGTGAAACATCTTATTACTCATTCCTCAAAGCATCCATTTGTCCATTCGTTGCTTTCTCAGACAAAATGTATCCAAATGCATCCAATGAAATACAAAAACTAGCAAGTAAGAATATTTTGATAATTCAGTTTCAAAGTCTTTGACCTTGTTACAAGGTAATTACAAAATGTAAAAAGAAAAAAAACCCCAAACAACTCACAAGCACATAAACCACACGCACAATACTAAACTACTTTCTATTATACATACCAGAAAAAACATTGTACACTGTAAGCTCCAAAGCACAAAACCCAGAACTTGTTTACTCTTATATAATACTTCGCTTTACATGAGTGTTGCTAAAAGCACAAATCTTTTCTGATCCTCAGTCCAATAGCTCTAGGGTTAAATTGTGAGATTAACCATAGAGTCCCAGGATGTGTGTTCTGAATAGCTATCAAATGCTGCCAACTCCAACTCCTTCCTTCTAAACATATTAAAATGCCTTGGAAATCTACTGTTTTTGTCAATTACTTCTGTATTAAATGACAATCTATTTTTCAAGAAGTTAAGCAGATATAAATTAGTTACTGTAACTTACATATTTGTCTACAGTTGTGTTCAGGTTGAGCATGAAAGTTGTGGAATTAGGCTTTGCTCTAATTTATTCCTGCAAATAATATTATGATAACTATTTTAATTCCACCTGGCCAGCTCACAGGTACAGCAGCTTCTTTTCATTAGATGAAAACTCCAAAACTAAAAAAAAAAAATGGTATTTCATTTGCTTTAATGAAAGGCCAGGTATATCTGAAAAGATTACAAAATGTTCTGTGATGTACTGTGTTACATATCCTGCTTCAAAAAGCGAAAGAGCATTTCTGCATGCAAAGAAAAACTTAGCAATGTTTCTTAAACTAAGTTATTTTATAATTGCTTAAAATAAGAAAGATGTTTTAAGTGCCAATGAAGATCTACTGAAGGGAATACTCAGAAACTGATCACTGTAAGAAGCACACAGACACTACTTCAGCTAGTAGCATTTCTGAGAAACAGATCAGTCAGTAGTTCTTGTCCTGAAAAGAAATCTCTTCTTTCTGTGAAAGATAAACTATATCCTACATAGGTCCGTGTCAGTCATTTTCACTATCTTCATTCAGCATTGTTGCACAAAGACACAGACATCTTAGTGTGGAGCTTATAAAATTCTAGAAATGAGTTAGCTACTTACAGGGAATGGAAAGCAGTATTTTACTTGACATAGGTTACATATAGGTTATTGCTATTTATAATCTGTATTACTGTTATGTGTAGGAGTTCTAGCCATGGACCACAATACCATAGTGTTAAATTCTATAAAGAGACAGAAAAAGATCCTTGACCTGGAGAGGAGACAATAACATAGTACGAGCTGAAACGTATTGTTAGCACTTACTGCATATTTTAAGAATCCCAACACTAGACTTTCCTTGACTTAGACTGAATGCCGTTACAGTCCTCAATTTGCCTTTGGAGTTGCACAGTGGCCTGAAGTTACAATATCACACATGCTTAACTCTCTTACTCTGTCACTTTCAATGTTATAATGGGATACAGTTAAAGACTTGATTCATATTCTAGCTTCATCTCCTGTTTGGCTGGAAGGGAAACCTGGGGCCCTGTGAATGTTTCTCTTCCTTTGACAAATACCTTACAGTGTGACAGCCTCACAAGGTCCAACAAGGGTAATATACCTGCATTAGCAAACAAGACAGGATTTGATCTCACTTAGTCAAATGTACTCTTCAGCTGAGACCTATTTTAATTAATTGAGGGAGATAAAATACCCTGTGTTATAACTACAACAATAACTAGCGTCTTTTGAAGATTTTTCAACTCCTTAACATTCCAATCCTAGTGAAAGTGCTTTCACCCCCAAATAAGATCTATTCAGGTTAAATGTATTTGGTTTCTAATAGAAGAGACTTGGGAAGTTACGATCCTGATAACCTCAGCCAAAACTCATCTTGATAACCTCAGTCAAAACTCATCACTACTACATTAGTGCCTACTGCAGATTGACAGTTTCAAACCAAACACGTACAGGAAAAACAAGACAGCCCATTAGGTAGCATGAAATCCAGTGTCCTGTATAATAGGAAGACAACATACATGAGCTAGCTATTTAATATACATTGAACTTATATGAGTGCACTCTAGGAACACAACAGAAACCAGCCAAAGAGGTTTCCCTTCTCTTCTCCTCTGCCCACCTCTTCTCTTCCCCTCCTCTCTATGTTAATTATGTTTATCTAGCATTACAATTTTAACAGTGACATCAATGAATTTACCTATCCCTGTCATTTTAACCATATTAAGAAAAAAATTTTCTCCTGCTGAATGTAAATCAGAGGGAGATCCTTTTCTTCTCAGTGCTTGCATTCTGAAATATAATTGAATAATTATTTCCATTTGGTGGTTCTCCCCCGCCCCCCCTTTAACACAGACCTGGGAAGGACTCAGTATCACATTGCTTGCTTCTACAGTATGCATGCTACAATAAAGGCAGGTAAGAAACTCTCTGGACAGAAAAGCTTTGTTAGCTTTCTATTTAAGTGTTCCTTATCACTTCACCATCCAGGGTGTTGAGCTCCCTCAAGCTCCTTTTCTAACATAAATGAGATCAGCAGTAAGCTACTGATGTGGAAAACTACAAACTCTGTCTGGAGACAAGTCACAATCTCCTGCTGCCCTAATTTTTCTATGCATTAAATAGGAATAAAGAAGTTTCTTCATCTCAAAACTTAGGTAAGGGAGGCAATGCAAGTATCTTTTTTAAAACAAAGTTTGGAAAATGCTGCGTAATGATACAGAAGGCAGAGAGGAGTAGGAAAGGACCAGAAGAAAGAGGAAGAGAAAATGAGCTACAGAAAAAATAAGGAAAGAGCAACCAAAAATAGTTGGCCAATTATACAGTAAAGAGTAAATGAATGTAGGTAGAGTTTATGTTCACTTGTAATTTGAGCATTGCAGTCACGCAGTTCTTTCCATGCAACTCTCAGGCAATTTTACTCCCAGTTTTATCAATGTCACTGACTGAGACAACAAGAAGTATCAGAGTAGCAAGCAAACAGTACTTTTCAAAAACGGAAAGGGTGAGGAAGTAGATAGATAAGCAGAAAATTTTTCCTTTTGCATCACATATAAGAAGAGAAAGACAAATAGAAATAAAGCACACACAGTTCCTGCATTCACTTTAGAAGACTTTGGGGTTGAATTTTTCTTGTTTTACTTCTTATGCTGCCTTTGTTCTAAAACCAGCGCTTCTGTAAATAGAGTATTTAGATATAGGCTTTAGCTATGCTAAAGATCTTCTGTTGCTATAGCTATTTCATATGCCCCTCTTGGCAATGTCTTCACAAGCAGATGCAGCACATGCTGACAAAGAAGTTATTGTCAGAAATAACCCAAATAACATACCTGCGTTTGCACTTAGAGCTTTGCTGACAGCAATTACAGCTGATACAGCATGCAAGTCTTTCATACCCTGAGCTGAAACATCTATGAAACAGAATGAAGGCCATAATGTCAACTCAGCCTTCAAAACATATCTTCCCCCAATTTTTGCTGCTTTAAATCCCCTGAAATTCTCTCCACGAATGAGCAAGAGCTAAATGAATACAACTTCTATTGCTCCCCTCTACTTACTAGGTTTGCTACAGATTAAAGTCACTCTCTACACCTCTGCAGTACCTCTAGTCTAAAAATCTCCGGATTCTGAGAAGAAATTTCTGGCTGAGTGGATCAGAAGTATCTCCTGTAATCTGTACTATGAAATACTACCTAAATGCAACATATGAAAAGCTAAGCTGCGCCCAACCCAGCAAAGTATTATTTAAAACCAAACCCTTCTTTACCGTTAGGAAAGATCTGTGGAAAAAACATCCAGTATATGTACTGTTTTCTCTACATTCATTCAGAAGTAAGGGATGGTAGGCAACCTTTACACTGTTTTCAAAATTGCTCTGTAGCTTCAGTTAAAATGGATTATTTTATTTGTTTCCTTGTCTCTCTGCCCTACACCTATTTCAGTATTTGTAATTCACAGTTACTAAAAGGTCACTTGTTTCTTGTATTTGTACTTTACTGTGAAAACTTCAGTATGTTTTTTCTGAAGCTTTCCAACCAACCACTGAACTCAGACTCTTTCTTTTCATTACATAACAACCACACCTGCAAATTATCTTCCTGATTTTGTATCTCTTACAACAGCAACAGTTACTTACAAAGACAGTCCCTTCTGACTGTGGGACAAATGAGTTTGCAGTTAATAAATGGCTTGCATTGCTCAGACTAACACTACCTGGCGGGGGGTGTGTGTGTGGGGGAAAGCCTGAAAAAAAAACCCCTATGCATGAAAACTGGAAGACCGAGACTGCTAAAAACAGTTTGGATGAAACTAAGCTAAAATATGTATTCCAAGAGTATATTTACTGCACTACAAAAGCAAAAAAGCAAATGGGCGTTGACCAGTCTAGAGTGGAGCTACTCTGAAGTAAACCTTCCCAAAGCGTGCATGATGTGGATGTCAAGTACTTTGAACTAACTGCCTCACTCTCAAATCCTCCTTGTTTGCGTAACTTACTAACTGTTGACAAAGTCCAAGATACCAGGTTAACTCTAACTACTGTGAAAGCATGGTTACAATGTTAAACCAAAGATCTTGATTTTGCCTGGTTTATGTATTTATGCAAGTACATTAATTCATTCATATGTAAAATAAAACACTGTATTGTACTTACCAGTTTTGGGGTTTATTGAAAAGAATCCCTGTGGATTGCCACTTGTAATCTTGTAGGTTAATTTTTCACTTGAGCTAGAATCTGGATCAAATGCCTCAATCTGAATGATGGATACATCTTTAGGTGAGTTTTCCATGACCTCTGGGTAATAAACTGGTTCTGTGGTCTGAGGAGCATTATCATTAACATCCCCAACTTCTATGTAGATTTCAATGAAAGATGATAAAGGCACAATGCCTTGGTCTGTTGCATAAACGGTCAACCAGTAATGTGAAGTAGTCTCACGATCCAGGCGATCTGCAGTCTCAATAATACCTGTTTAACAGCAAGAAAGATAAATAGAAAATGCTCAATAAATATGCAGAAGTGTGTAAACAATAAGAGTAAGCAACAAGTTTAAATAAATGAATAAATAAAAATGAATACAAGTTCAAAATAACTGACATTGATTCTACAAGCTGTGTTAACATACACAGACAAACATATTCAGGCTAATCTGAAGCCACAAAAAACAAAATTACTACAACAGTTTTCAGCAGTTATGCATTACAGATATTAAAACAATATACTACTTAACTTCCTTTCCAACATCCTTTGAGATTTATCAGATCAATTAGCACTATTCATAAAAGCTGTTTTGCCTAAAACATTAAATATAATGAGTAATTCACAGTCTTTTGGGACTTGAATGACCATCTTTACTCATCACTGATTATAGTGAATTTTATGCCATATTAAACTATCTGATTTAGATGCCAAACTCTTGAACTGTTCACCATTATTCATATTAATGAACAGCTACTTAGATGTGAAACATTCTTATCTATGTGCCCAATGAATTATTTAACTGAATTTTCTTAATGTGCTTATTTGGCTTCACACAGAAATTTCGTAGAAGAGAAAACAAAAATTACACCTGAAGCTAACCTTTGTAGCATTAGGACCAACCAATGGCTGCCATTACTATGGCAATGGAAAGCAGCACTTAGGTCAATTTTACACACATAAAATGAACTACCATTTACGGAACAGCTACACAATTAAAAAACCTGATAAAAGTCTGTCTCCTAAGTCTACAGGAGTTTGTCTGAGCCAGAACTAAATAAAGACCAAGGGGCTCAAATTTTTATCCACTGTGAAGGAAAAACAGATCTATTTTTATAAGCAGCTTACTCTACAGGTACAGTCGTAACATGCACACATCAAAAGGGTACATGACACGGTGCAACCTATTTGATGGGAGATGAATATCAAACAGATTCATGGAGCCATGGCACAATTAAACTTTGCACTTTCCTCTTCCTGATCCGGTCACTCTTACAGGTTGTCCAGTTTGAGATGTTTTCTGAATAGAACTTAAACAGAACCTGATACATGTCAGGGTAAGGGACAGAGCAAACCCTTGCAACCATTTCTGTGGAAATCTTGAAGGGCTTTGTCATGGCTCTTATTGTTTGCTATACTGAGACACACCAGGCATAATCAGGATTGGAGCGAGATGAGTCAAACTATCACCATGACAGCCAGTTTTGGACTCTGGATACAGCCTCATAACATTACTACACATGGTGTGACCCTTGTCCTGAGCTCATTTACTCCACACAACATGTATATATATACCATCAGTAAAATAGCACCTTGATAAAACTATACCACTGCTTTTACAGGAGTTCTACAGGAAAGGAATTAACGTTAAGTATCACTTCCTTCACGCGCCCCAGACACTTTTTTTAATGTATTATACTGGCCGAGCAAAATGAGATAAATATTGAGGTATTACTCATTTATTCATCACTTTCTTTGCCTTGTGGGAAGCTGCATAAAGGTCTGATGACGATCATTTGAAATTTTAATATGTCAATAAGATCACTTCAGAAGGGCTGGAGGGGATAGCTGAGACCTGCAAAATACCCATATATAGCATTTCAAGCAACACAGCATTTCAGAACTACCACCAGATGTCAGTGTGGAAACTGGTTTTATATAGCATCAAAGGCTTCAGAACTGGGATAAAAAGGAGGGACACTGCAATTTGAAAATACACGTGCACTACATACAGTCTATAAAAGCTTTCTTGAAAGCAAACTGGTGGCTTTATAATTTTTTTTTTCAAGGATGTTGCCATTTTACATTTCCAGTCTCTTCACCTCAGTATTTATATTTTGTTTTATGGCACTTCTATTATTATTAAAAAAAAAAATGCTATGTAGTCACTGGATTTGTATTGTGGTTACCTCATTGTTTCTGACTGTTAATTTACATAAGTTTGCTCTTAAAAATGGACACGCAGCCTTGAGCACCCAGTTACCTGGATTCTATTTTCGTAACTCACGTTACGCCTTTTGCACCCCTCTACTTCAGCCAGCAGACTTTCCTGGGAGTAAATGAATTTGTTAATTACTGTGGCCTCATTTCTAAACCTAAATGCTGGATGTGGCATGCAAGCAGTTCATCATAAGTCTGGGGAGACTCCAAGTATGCCTTGGAAAATTTTGTAAAACCTTTATGTCCTACTAAACATAAGACTAGACGGTATTTATTCCCTTTTAGCAAGGCTTCCAGCAATACTGCTGTATTGCTTGTGATCCATGCAGAACACAGTGAGCAGGCTTATGGGCCGAATTGAGCAACCATTACCATTTTACACCTGTCCTGCTTTGTTAACAGTAGCTACATCAGAAGCGGCAGATTAATTTTAAGATAGCCTTGCCTGACTCTTTAAAGAAACATAAAAAGAGACCCTTGTGGTAATGGAGCTCTCCTCCTGCAATCTGCTCAGCTGGCATTTACAAATTCTATCACCTTAGTTATCAAAGCCTACCTCAAGGAAAAAAGAGGACTGAACCTATTTTGCTTTTGTAGGCTATCAGTTCTCAAGTGTCCATTCCTTAAGTCACATACTTCATGAGGGAGAAAGGGGAAAAAAGTACCACACCAAAAAAACCAAACAGTATTTCAAAAACAAATATCTAAAAAGATTATAGGGGTAGTAGGGATAGTGGCTAACAGTACAACACAGCAAAGGTAGGCAATTTTGGGTTTTGGTTCATTTTTCATTTCAGATTAGATCTGCATATATGACATTACTTCTGTATATTTTACACTGACTTTTGCAGAAATGTTCAATGAAAGGGTCGTAATCAGCCTGATCATCTGACCATTGAACATGTCACGTAACACAGGTGTTTACCCAACAGGGTAGCTCTGGTTTTCAGAATGTCTCTGATTTTCTACAGGGTCATCCACACTCTAAGCGTACATTAGTCAAAGTAACTAAAATTATTTTTCCATTTTTCTGATTTTTCTCACCCAACAGATCCTGAATTGTTGGGTGAATATTTTTTCTGTATGTGCTGTTTATAATTCCAAACTGAAATAGAAAGCATCTAGGAAAATGATTTTATGATCAGATAGGCAAAAATGTCTACATAACTTTTAACACTAATCAACAGATTAATTGCTGAATGAACATTTCCTAGAGGCATAAAGGGTACTTAAAAAAGCTTTCAGGTACCCCACTTGCAGTTCAAAACAGAGGGAATAGACAGGTATGTATGCAAGTTGGAAAACTTATTAGAGATGGGCATCACACATGAATGGATTACTTTGACAATACTAAAAATGAAAACTCAAAATAACATTACTCCAGTATAAAAGCCATGCAAAAGGGGACAGGAAGATAGGGAGCAAAAATTTCCCTTCACCCCTTGCACACTGAGGGGAGTGGAGGAGAGGCCACCACACCTAGTTCTCCATCATTCAAAGCTGCGGGCACGGTGAGGGAAGGGATGACTGGGCTATTAATATGACTCAGCTTTCTTCCTGCTGTTTCCGCCCAGCAATGAAATGGAACAGATACTGATCCAATACACATGCCTGGGGGTGGGGCGGGGGGAGCTCTGACTACCAAAACCTGAACAACTTCTGGTTCTGCATCAGCACTTATGTCACAAAACACAATCAACACTAAACGCACGCAACTACATGGGAGTACTTGGTTTTTCTTCCCTTTTCACATTACTGTACAATCTGACCTCACATCAGTAATTACAAAACACCATCCTTTTCTCATTACCCCAGCTGAAGTTGCTCCTGCAAGTTTAATGCTGAATCTTTCCTGATTTTGCCTATAAGAACACTAACAGCTTCATCTTTAATTTCTGTGCAACAATAATGAATACAAATGCATGTAAACTTCAGTAGTCTACCATACCTTCCAACAAACACAAGCCCAAAGAAGAATAATTTAACTAAGATTGGTTGTTTTTTTTTTTTAAAAAAGAAGTAAAGATAATGATAGTTCTACCAAATCACAGGTCTAGAACCAGCCCTTAAAGTTGGTGTGCCAACTTTCTGCTTTTGCAAACATTGACTACAGCGGCCTATTTTACATAGTAGGGCAGCATAATACTGTATGCTGTCTGAAAGCCAGCACTCACGGAGTTCATAAATTCACTGGCTTCTAGTTCTAGTGGTTCTCAAGACAGTAGAGAGAAAAATGATGGGAACTCATACATCAAAGAGAAGTAATAAAAAAATCTAAGTAAGAGTTGATTTGGTTTAATCTCGCAATTGGCTAGATTGATTAAGCATCAGTAAGATGTTGATCAGTATCATCAGTTTCAACAGCATATTTTGGCTCCTAGAAAGTATTTTCACTTTTTTCTTCAAGTGGTGCAAAGCACATTTAGGGAGTAAAGCTTAAGTGCTTCTATTGTATCTTCAATGCTGTAAAAGCTTCATCTCTGCTCTAATTCTTCTCCCATTCACAGAAAAATCATTAATCAGCGAATTTCTCATCCATTCTCTACGCTAAGGCAATTTGGTAATTTTAACTTTTACAAACCATTTGTTTTTTTATGTAGCAAGACAAGTAGAGAAATCTTCCACAGAGCACCACTAAAGAATCTTTAGCATGTACAGTAATCCCAAAGAATTGTAAATATTGTTGTTCATAAAATACAGTAAAGTGAGGATTCCAAAAACATTTTTCACTTGGCTGGATATGCAATCCTGAAGCCTTTCAGGTGGTCAGGATAAAAAGAAATTCACATTCAGTCACTAACCACCAGAAGGGAGTACAAAAGAGCTCTGATGAAATAGTTCTCAGTCATCTGCAAGAGGACATCAGAGCTGATTTTACAATATTCATATGACTGAAATTTTAGACTAGATATTGTTCCCACTTCATGCAATAGGACTTTTCTATCGATTTCATTAAAAGAAAGCAAAAGTCCTAAGTGAATACTACAGAATAGAATTTGGACAGAATTCAATACGGAGGAACAGGCTGGTTTATGAATACAGCAACTGAG